GTATGACAATAATAAAATATTAAATAATTTGATCAATATCCATGGACTTCATCTGAATGTCTGTGTTGTGTCAATTATGTCAGCCACATTATGTCCTGTGGACATAATGTGGCTGACATAATGATAATGATGATGTGGGTATTTGTTGTTCATATAATCTCTTACACCTATTTCATGATTTGTGCACTCCTTGCAACTGTTTTTTTTTTGAGAGTGGAAATTCATCCAATTTCTTCCCCCGCCTTGGGATTAGGCGAGAGGGAGTGTCAGACTCTTACTGACTAAAAACCACCCAGTTCCTACTCCTGGTCTGCGAGCCGGAGTCCCGGCAACCCGTCAGGCCTTTCGCGGCTCCGTATCGGGCATCAGCCCTACAGATGGGGATCTGTAGTGGTCTGATGGCTCTTTGAGGCGCGCGCGGAACGCGACGCGCCATACGCATGGGTCTGGTTCTGGTCGGGCCGCGAGCCACCCTTGCTCATCGTCCGCAGACCCGCACTTACGGTGGCCGGAGATCGTCACGCGATCTCCGATGCCCGGAGTGTATTCCGCGACAGCTGGGGCGTGAGGAGCTCTGTTCCCTCACGCGCCCCGCCTCCTCTACTCATTGCAACTTGCTGTAATGTGTTTTTAATAATTTCATGTCTATCAACTTCCATCTATGCCTAAATGCATAAAATGTAACTGTAGGTATAGGTAGATCCGATGTTCTTTACCTGCTATCCATAATTTGTTTGTTATTATAACACTATCAATACATTACAAAATTCTAAGTGAGAATGTAAGTAATACATGTGCGTGTATCATGTGTCAGGAGGACAGTAATCAAGGCGAGCCGTCGAGTGGCGACGGGCTGGCGGCCGCGGCGGCCGAGTACGAGCGCTCGCACGCGCGCCCGCCGCCGCCCACCGCACACTTCACTATCACCGGCGAGGAAGGCGAAATAAATGTCATGCAGGTACCTGTTATGATAACGACTTTATTTTTACACTACAAATACAAGTTCATTACTTTGTATAAAATAAATGTAAACATATGTTTATAAGTTGTAAGTAGTGTGATACTACCATTACTATTTTTGTAGTACTTTGTTTATTCATACTACTTTTTCCCTAACAGTGTAAATAATATTGACAAAATATTGTAACTTTGCAGATATCGTGTCGTTTGTTCGCCTGGGAAGCGGGCAGTTGGCGTGAGCGGGGTCGTGGCGTGCTGCGACTGAATGACGCGCCGGCTGGCAGTGGCGGCGCCGCCAGGCTCGTCGCCAGGGTGGCGGGCTCCCTGCGCGTCGTACTCAATACCAAGCTGTGGCCCGACATGGTCGTGGAGCGGGCCGGTACTAAGTCACTTAGAATCACCGCCGTTGATGCTCAACAGCAGATCAAATTGTTTCTTATAATGGTTAGTATAATCATATAGGTATTCTTGCAATAAAATGAATTATTTAGTGTTACAATTTAGTAATGATCATACAACATAATGTTAATTCCAGCAAAAGTAAGAATCAAACTACAAAGTACACTATAAATCTCTTATAAACTATGTTTAACCTCTCGCGCGTTGCTCGTACACGGGAATAGAAAGCGAATGAACTATTCTGTTCAATCAAATAAAGAATGGGTTGCAACTTGAAAATATACATCACAGAAAAAGTTTCCAATCGGTGCAAGTCACTCTCGTACACCCGTGTGTACAAGAAACGCGCGAGAGGTTAATAGAACCAACTTTAACAGTAACAAACAATTTTCTGAAAACCTCATAAAAATTAGTTCAGCCAGTCGCGAGATAATCACGCACAAACATACATACATACAGGTCACACTGAACCTCCGTTTTTTTGGAGTCGGTTAATAAATATAAATGTAAATTATTTTTATTTGTCGTACCACTTTCTAACCATTATCATATTAATTTTGCTATTTTAAGGTATTTTTCAAAATTACGTTTTTAGTAATTGCTTTTCACAACATTGTGTTTCACGTTTTTTTTTTCAGGGTGCACCCGGAGATATAGTTCAGTTGTACAGGGCTCTCACGGCCCGAGTTTCTATGAGCAAGCGTTCGACGTCATCTAATACAGGTTCACAGAACGCCACCTCACAAAAAGCCGCTGAAAGGTTGGAGGCGGCCGCTGACGAGGAGGATTACCTTGGAAAACCCGGTGATGATGAACAAGATGACGCCGTTGACGACATCGCTCTCGATGACGATGATGATAATGAACCTGCTAACAATGAGAGGCTAGAAGCTGATCATGATGAACAAAAGACTGAAGAACACGAGTCCAACGTAGACGGCATGAAGCCGGACAAGGAAAACAAGTCACTGAAGCGGAAAGAACCGGCGGAGGACGAGACGTCGCCCAAGAGACAGTGCCCCGAGATATTAATAGAGTGATAATACTGTAATGATGTTAAACAACATGTTGTATAAACTTTTGTGAAGTAAATGTGGACATGGTTCATTTGTTCGACATCTGCTGAAGGCTCTGGGTTCAAATAGAAATCTTTATGTAAATGTAACTAATAATAGATAATGTGTAGAAATATTTATGATTAAATTAATATAGCATTTTACAACATTGTTGATTATTACTAATGGAGGTTCCATTTCTAATAATTATAGCGACCGCACATGCATTTGAGAAATAGTTTGAGTACAAAGTAAAGTGGCCGCAGTATTACATTATGTGCTATGTAAACAGCTCAAAATTCTGTTCTCACATTCCAATCGTTGCATGCGAAAACAAATGGTTGTTTAGCATGTTCGGCCAGAGCTGAATACCAAATACAATACTGATGTGGTTTATTTTCTGATAGATTTTTAAATAAACTATTTCGCAATAGAACACATTGTTATTAAACACCCGTTTACCTGTTTCCTGTCCCACGTGTACTCCGTGTCGATCCAATTATATGTTGTATATTCATGTAGTCAAACATTTCTGCGTCAACCTGTCATGTTTGGGCAATCCTCAATATATATATTATATATTTGTTTTCAATGCTCTTTACTGCCTTTTTAGGCTTATTCTCTTATTTGTGAAGGGAGAAGGGACTTATTTCCATTACCAATATTTTTATATTTAATTAGTACAACGACAAAACGTAGGTAAGTACGCAGCAATCAAATAATGAAACATACATATTTGATGAAGGGCCAATTCCCTCAAATCAGTTTGTTTACAGTACTTATTAGCCAAACTACTTAATTGACTGAGGATACATATTATCGTGTCATTAATTTAATTGAAATGTCGCAAAATTAACACCCTCGTGGTTTGTAAGCTACAGTATGATTTTATAAATACCTATTTCGTTTCATTTATTTTAATTTCGAGTATACATACTTCATTGAGTCCTAAATTGGATTACTTATAAGACGCCACGTAAGACGATTTAAATGATGACGGGAAAACGTATACAGAGAGTACCTAAGGTGATTAATTTTTCTGTATGTGGCTACTTCAGTATCATGTCAGCCACAAGACACTGATATTCCTTCGCTGAACATAGGCCTCACCCAACGACTAACAGCTAAAAGACTAGCTGGTTGCAAAGAGCCTGCATCCTGATTTCAGTGGCATCCTGCAACCTCTAGTATGTCAACGGACTCGTGCATCGAGAAAATGTTCGTCCGATCAATATCGTTGGTTTCATACACATCATTTTTAACTATATCATGTCGCAAATGGAGCACGCTGTAGCTATTTAGTTAATTAATTATGTACTTACACTTAAGTAGCCTAAGTAGGTGCTATTTTATAGTGACATATTAAGTTAATTAACTATTTTGACTAACAAGTCCATTTGAGGAAACAGATTGGAGTTATCAACAACTGAACTGTAATACCATCTGAAAATGGAAGATAATGTAGCATACTCTACGTTTCAAGGGTTTAGGCCTCACTTTGATGCATTAGCCAGGGTCGGTTATTTCAAAATAGTTCTAAAACCCATTTCTTCTTTGAAACGATTCTTTCACAACGTCTATCGTTTTATATCGTGGAGTTTAATTCTTACGTACAATTTGCAGCATGTTATAAGAGTAGTTAAGGTAAGAAAACCGACGTGAAACAACGCTTTCGTTGTGTTTCATCATGTGAGTGGAGGTTAGAGGAGGCCCAAATACCCGCCCCCTTCCCCAATATCCCCATTCCCGTAATCCTCAACAATCCTCAAATACCTAATTCCCAAAAGGCCCGTAATGCAATTGTAACGTCTCTGGTGTTCCAGATATCCATTGGCGACGCTGGTTGCTTACTATCAGGTGATCCGTCTGCTCGTTTAGGTACCGGCTTGTCCTATAAAAAGAAGTTTAATCTAGACTAGACAGTTGTAAAGTTAAAACTGTCCTAACACACGGTCCGAGTTCTACCTAGGTTTTCTAGCTACTTAGGTATGTCGGATATTCTGGAAAGCCATCATACGAACTCTAGACGAAAAATAGTCATCAAGTTTAAACTTGGAGATTTTTAATTTCAATGTTGTGTATTAAACTATTTATTTACCCTGATGTATCAGGTCCGCCACAGCACCAATCTGATAGTGGACACACTGTTCATTTTGTTAACAACTCTGAACACGTTGGGGAAGCAAACTGCCTTCAATCTGAGGTCTCGTCGCATTGATGACATCATCAGTATCATTAATGGTAGGTGTATCTTCCTAATCTGATGTGTCCATACTTTATGTGGGTTCAGTTTACTTAATTTCGGAGATTACGTAATAAACAACTTGTCTATGACATTAAATCTCACCGGTACCTACATATGGCAATAGGCTCACCCCCTACTGAATGGGATTAACTGGTGAAAAATTATAAATTTTACTGGTTACCCCTTCAGGGATTATATCTTGTGGTATATGCGGAATACCCTTTAGGTCCTGTAATTAAAGGTATGTAGGTACCTATTTAAAAAAGGACCCAAGAACTATCAAAATTTTGGGTCTAGGAATGTGCGGATATACTCACTTACTACTTAGGTAATGTATCAATCAAGTTAAACATTTTCAAATATTTTCTTCTTGAACAGGACCAATCTTCGCAGCAAGTAAACCATATCATGTGGAAGTTTTGAAACAGAATGCGTTGGTGATGTCCCGGCTGCTGACTTTGTATCATGGCGCCATATTTACTTGCGGCACTCTGTGGACCGTGTTCCCGGTTGTTAATAGAGCCCTTGGCAAAGAAGTACAATTTACTGGCTACTTTCCATTCGAAACAACAAGCACGTTAGCGTAAGTTTAATAAGTTATATTTTGCTTCACCGCTTCATATCAAAACCTGACAAAAATATACAAATCTTAGAAATTGCTAGCCTGCTATTTATATTCAGCAAATGAGACGCATCTATAACATAGTCCCAATATCCGTAGACAGTATCTACACAAAACGTATCAAATAAAACTAAGACAACCGCATATCAATTTTTAGATTCTCGCTGGCATTGGCCTACATGACCGTTCTGATAACTTTCCAAGCTTATGGAAACGTAACAATGGATTGCACGATCGTAGCGTTCTATGCACAAGCCAAGATACAATTACAGATGTTGCGGTATAATCTCGAACAACTTGTGGTATATAGCAATACTAAGAAGTTCGATTCAATAAAAAACCAATACAGAGACGAAGGAGAAGAGAAGACAGAACTGCAGGAAAGATTGAAGAAATGTGTGAGACATTATAATCAAATTGTAAGGTGAGCTTGGTTAATTAACATGCACCTGTTGTGTACCTGTTCATTAGGTAACAATTTCACCAAAATCTCAAAAAGCTCTCATATCTGACGATCATCTATAAATCAATACAAAAGATTATGAAGAAACAGTTTTGACTAAATCTTCTTTCTGTCGCCAGATTTGCAAAAGAAGTTGAGTCGATATTTGGTGAAGCAATGGTCGTACAGTTCTTTGTGATGGCTTGGGTCATATGCATGACGGTCTACAAAATTGTCGGTGTAAGTTTATAATTCACAAAAAAAAGTTCTACGGTACAATACAATTTAATAACTGACGAATCTTCGAATTGCTTGTTTCAGTTAAGCATATGTTCTGCGGAGTTTGTATCGATGGCCGTGTATTTGGGTTGCATGTTAGCCCAGTTGTTTATTTACTGCTATTTTGGGACGCAACTCAAAGTTGAGGTAACTGATTGAGACATTAAACGCATGTGTTGCTCAGTAGACGATACTTCTTTGTGAAGGGATAAGTTCATTGCGAATCTATAAACCGTACCTAATTGGTTAAAAGCTTCATAAGAAAAATAAAGCGTGTTACTTTGGCAGAGGTATGTGTGAATGATATAATGCATCTGTTTGCAGAGTGAGTTAGTAAATCAATCAATATACTGCTGTGATTGGTTGTGCCTGTCGCCTCAGTTTCGAAGACAATTGCTTGTGATGATGCAGTGCTGTGGTCGGCCACTGGCTCCCCGCACTGCCTACGTCATCCCCATGTCTTTGGATACTTACATACACGTAATGCGTTTATTAACATTGACTAAGGATATTTTTTACTGAAGTTCAGTAGGTACTTATTTTCAGATTTTAAATATGATGTGTATTTTTACAGGTGCTGAGATCTTCATATACATTGTTTACGTTCTTGAATCGCTAGAGGGCTTTTTATTTTACGTCACCAAACAAAATATAAGTCATCGTTTTAAACAAATTAGGTGTTAAAGTAAATCTAGAAGGGTTTAGAATAAAACTAGAGATAGAAAGAAGCGGGGAAGCACAGAAGAGCGGGGTTGTTGAAATGATTTCATTGCAATTTATCGCAAGATGAAAACATCACAATACTGCGAGTTCTTGACTTTTATTCTTGTGATCTCAGCACAGAATAGTATTAGAGGTCGCTCGTAAAATTGACCACCGTTTGATTCATTGCGCCTATTTACTGCCGTTTTATGGCCCAACGCTGCCTGAAGTAAACCGTAGTCGATCTGAAATTCCAGCATTGTTCTCTAGTTGCTTCTTACACCGGTTGCGTACGTACACTACTTACTAGTTCTAATTTATTAATTGCGACTCGACGTAACGCCTCTAACACGAGCTTACGTAGATACAAAGCTATTTAGGCGTCACGACGCAAAAGAAAGCACCATTGTTTTGTCTGAAAAATAAACATAAAACACTATAAATAAATATCGGTGTTTTATTTATTGGTCGCAGCATTTCCACAATCTGGTAGGCGCCATAATTATTTTAAGCACAGTTTCTTGAGCGAATCGCTTAACTTTTGTGTGAGGTACGTACGGTGTGACTCACGCGGACTCCGCCAGACAATCCAGGAGCCCGAATCGGCGAAACCCGCCTCTTCAGTGCTCCGTACGACGTAAGTGCTGAAAGTCGTGTAAAAAGTTGTATCCGGCCGCGAATAGCGCGTGTGGAATTCCGTTTATAAATACGCGAGTGCGGGCGCGGCGAGAGAAGTGTTCACGGCGGCGGCGGTCAGCGGCCGAGGGAGGCGTGCTGCGCAGGGCTGCGGGCGGACCGCGGCGGCAGCGCGCACTCGCGGCCCGCAGGCATGCGCGCGCGCCGATGATATTCACGGGCGGGGGGGCGCGCCGCCGCACCTCGCCCGCGCCACGCGTGCGCGTCCCCGCCCGCCCGCACCAGCGACTCCATGCCGACTATGTGAGTCCCAGCGTCCATTAACTATTTACTAATAACGCTCTCTATCCACTTATCAACCGCTAATAACTCTTCTCTTCGTGCGGCTAGGTCAGTTAACGCGAACGTTTGATCCCCTTTCATTGTCTACGCTAGACGATATTTCTTTGAACGAGCTAGTTTTGAATAGTGCACTAGCGCACTCTGTGTAATACCGATTTTGAACTGAATACCTGATTTTGAAATTGGGTAAAAGCTTTGTTACTTAACGCGAATTCGTATCTACCTCTACATTTAACTGCAGCAATAAAGCAGTTATTTGAGGATGAAGGAGGCATTAAACGACTGAGAGATATAAATTCTATTCAGCAATTAAACGAACATAACGGATGTAGCAAATGCAATAAACAGAAAATGATAACTATAAATCTCAATACATCACGTCGCATACCGAGTCTAATTGACTTTTTCTGATTTCAATTTAATTTAGAAATCAATTACCTAACGTCAACAAGCAAATCAAACATTTTCCCAGGTCAATATTTCTCCACAAATGTCTGCCATGATATATTTGTAAGTAAACATTTCGACAGATCGTTTAATCTGTATCTAAGTGCTTGCAATTTGTTATATTTCTTCTTCATATTGAAATAAATGGCGACGGATGTGAGATTCAAGAAAACATCGCATTGTAATTTGTTACGAATATAAATCATTTTTATGGAATGTTTGTAGGTGTCTATACTTACAATTATCGTTAACCTAAATCAGATAATGTTTAGATGTGTTTTGAGAAACATTTATGAATGTTGGTATCCCAACTTCAATGTAGCGTGCATCACTGGCTAGATTTGGAAAAGATGGATGGAAGATATATGTCTCTCTACTATAGGAATAATGGTAGAAAAGTTGTAAACCATAAGACGTGTGTGTATGTGCGAAGGAAAAGAACAGTAACAGCAACCAAAAAAGGTTTAAAGTAGACTGCTTGAGGATTTACGAAAGAAAATGGAAGTTGCAGCGTCCAGATCGTGTCCATTTCATTCACATTCAGAAAAGAACAGGAAGAAGAGGTAAGGAATATAGTGTAAAGTGCCCTTTTATAGAAGCCATATGGTAAGCCAGATCGAGAGGCAATATCCGCAAGGTGGCGCGCAGCTGTAGGATGGGAAGATTTGAAGGTCGAGGCCTCCTATTGGAGAGGCCTACGACCAGCAGGGAACGACTATAGCGATACAAAAATCAAATAAAAGCCTGTACCTAGACAGAAAGGCACGTAAGCACAGCCACCACAGGGTCTATTTAAGATTGAGTAGGGTCCTACATTCTCATTACGACTTGAAATGACCTAATGCTAACACAAAACATAGATATTGCTCACGCAATATCAAAACATGGATTTGTAGCAAATAATACCTCTCAACGAGTAGAAGCTAAAGTTTATTTCATTTTTGCGCAATAAAAAGCATAGCAATCTTCATTTAAATATTTATGTCTTGTTTTTAAAAGCTGGTTGTTACTATTCGTTCGATATTCGGTTTATGATGTTTATGTTTCAGGGTATACAAGTAGTTGAATTATGATATCTATTGTTAGACTTACGAAGTACGAACTCACATCGCTTCATCGAGATCAAACGAACAACGTTTTGATTAAAATATTACCTGAAAATTTTACAATCACTCACTGGCGAAATAATATTATGTCAATAAAAATCTGTTATTACTTGTAAATGTTGGAAGTTATTAAAATCAA